TATATGAAAGAGAAAACTTTTGTCTGAACTTCTTGGGTTTGTGCAAAGTGTGTCTTAAGGAAAGTACACAAACTAGTGCCCTGCATTGGAAGCAGTGGTGACTATCTTGAGCATAGTTCATGTCCCCTGCACTCCAAAGAACAGCAAAACATTTGATTCATTCAACACTTAAAAAAATGTAGGCATGCTAGACTCTTAACACAGGAGGGCACACAGTCGAGATCCATGGGGTTTGCTTGCCTTTTCTTTCTCCAAAGCTCACTGCAGGGAAAGCAGCTAAAACTGCTTCTTGGTTCTAAGTGAGAACATAACCTGAAGAGGAAACCATCTGGTCAGGGGCTCCCTATCACCATGCTTAGGTTTGTATGTGCGAAGAGAGTAAACATTAAAGTCAGCATGAATAGGAGTCCACTGTGCCTTTCTCAGCAACAGCAGCCCGTGCTGGTGAGGAAGAAGTGGATAACCCAATCTCCTAGAAAAGAATCACTTCTTACTAAATGACCAAATTTTCCTATTATTACCTAAAGATGTCGTTGAAGTCAAGGTCCTACTATGTAGACCAAATTATCTCCAGTCTCAGCTTCCTGGAGGCTGGGATTACTGGCATACCACAACCATGTCAAAGCAAGGAAATTTTTTTTATAATACCTTTTCTGTTTCAATAGGAAGCTGTTGGAGCAAGAAAATCTGTGCAGTTAAACTGAATTAGAAAAACTCTTTAGGTGTTTTTGGTATAAATAGTTAGTATTTGAAATAATTTCATTTACAATCTACATTGCCAAATACGACTTGGATGCCCTTCATGTCCTTGAAAGGTGAGTTGTGACTACTGATTGGACTGAAGGTGCAGCAAAGCTACCTGGTATGCTTTAGTTCGAAGTCCAGCTCAGTCCGTATTTATTCAGTTCATTAGTAAAAATAGAATGTCTTGACAACTGGCAGTGATTCCCAAATCTCAATCCTAAAATGTCAAGATACAACTCTTGCCTTGGATTAATCCTAGCTTACCTTTAGTGACTTTTCCTTTGATACTGACTTAGAGCAAAAGACCCAAAGCAACAAGACACAAGTCAAAAGATTCTCACTGCTGGTCAAGGCAGGAAACCTGCTAACTTGTGAGTTCCAACAACTGGTGTAAGATCATCTTCTGACCATATCGGACTTGTAAGGCTTGCTGTTCCCGCCAGCTGAGCTTGGCATAGACCTCTTTATTACTTAGTAAATCTTGTTCAGTTTTTAAGTCGGTGGCATAGGTCTGAAGGGTCAATAGAACACTGTCTCGAAGAAGCCGTTTCCATGATGCTTGGAGCTTGGGGATATTTGTGATTGTCAGACTGTCCTCTTCTCTTGCTTCCTCTCCCTGTCCAGCCTGTTCTTTATAGTTTCTGAATTCCTCAGCAGGCATGCACAGTACCTGGAAGGAACATGGAACCCTTCAGTTAGGGTGCACTACTATCTGTGAGACAGATACACCACTGTAGGAAAATTGAGTCCCCTTTGTCTTTCGTTTGGCTTTATTTGAATACCAGCACCTCATACCCTGTCAGCCCGTACCTTGAGTGTGGTGGCTAGCTCTTCTTCAGTCAACACCTCCTCATGACCAATCACAAAAGCTCCTTCTTCCCCTACCATCTCCAGTTTGCACAGGAAATCCCAGCGTTCACACAAGAGCAGCTTTTCAGCTTCATCCTTTGTTCCTGTGAAGTAATGGATGAGAATGAGACATGAACTCTAGCAAGCCAAGTGCTGTCAGCAGAGGAAAAATGGAACCTGGATGGGCAGACGCACCCTGCAGTGCAGCATCTCGGACTGTCACCATCTGAATGTCAGCTGTGTCGTCTGTGTTGTCAGGATAGGGCTCAGCAAAACCATACATATGAATCAGCTGCCAATTAGCCATTTGCCCATATGTGTTGAAAATCTCATGACCTTTTCGAATGGGCTGAGTAGCTACCATCCGGAGATAATCCTGGGATGAAAGTGAAAACTTTAAGTTCCCACCAGCATGTGAAGATCATTTCCCTCTTAGAAGAGTCTATCAGACTGTGGGCTGAGACTATATACCACTGTCTACTGTTACACCCCATATTATAGGAGGGGTGAAACCAACTAAACCCAAGATCACCTTAGTGTATCGGGTGCATCTTTGCCTAGTTATCTACCTTTAAAACAATGCTGAGGCCAGGCCTGGTGATGCACACCCAGTGCTCACAAGGCAATCTTTTGAGTTCCAGAATAGCCAAGACTATGAGGTTTAAAAAAAAAAAAAGTTAAACTTCGTATGAAAATAGAATAGGAATAAGTAAAAATCACATCTGCTGACTTCTGGGGACAAGGTCTTAATGTTTTAAACTAAACATTGTTGGAAGTTACTTGAGTTAGGGAAACTTCAATTCTGCCTCAGCCTGAGATTGCAGGTGTAAGCCACCAGGCCCACATAATTTGCTAATTTTTAAAATCACATACATGTGTGTCTTACAATTTTCCAAGCAGAATCAACACTAAAGTGGGGTCTTACTCTACCTTGGCCCATGAACATTCCACCTCTTGAAAAGTACTTAAACAGTGCTGTTCCATATTACTGTCCACAGAGCCTCGGGTGACATGGCAGAGCAGAGAGTAGGCAGGGTTCTTTTTGGGGGGTCGGGGGAGTGGCCTATAAGGTGTGTCCACACATCTTACTATAACTTGATACCAAAAATACACAGGAGAGTAGCTAATCTCACCCACTCAATGTTTAGTAAGTAGGAAAATGGAGCCCCATGACTCATAATGCACATAACCAGGCATAGGGGTTCACTCACTGCAGAGTACTCAAGATTGGCATTGTAATTGGCTATGTGGTTTAGTAAGTCTGCAGCAGGCACCATCAAGGGGGAGTTGGGCTCCTTTTCATCATCATCTTCCTCCAGGGGTTCTTGAAAGCTGCCAAAGAGAGAACTCAACTAAGGCCCCCTCTTGAGTGAGGGACCTGGAGTTCACTGTTCTTCCCCACCTTCCCCCTCAACAATGTTCTAAAAATGAGGGTCTGCTCCTCCAGGCTTATCACTGACCTATAAGACATTACGAGAGCCACGAGCTGACGGTAGAGTTCCAGGGAGCGAACAGTGGGGCTGAAGAGATCGGAGTGGGCCTCCATGAAGGGCAGGACGATGGAATGGTATTCGCTACTGATATTCACCAAATCCTTCTCCACAGCCTCCGGGACACCTGTACCCTTTAGGAGGCGCCGCCGCTCCTCCTCTGGCCTGCAACCCATCCAGAACCCTTCACAGCATGCCGCTCTGATTCAGCAGATACCCAGTCCCCTGAGCAAAGTGGTTGGAATAGGTTCTCCCCAGCTCTCACCAAAACATGGGATGCTCCAAACGCCCCAGCTCTGGCCAGAGCGCGAAGTAGGGGCTCCAGGGTGAGGCTGGGGACTGCAGCTCGTGGAGCAGCGCCAGCAGCAGCGGCACCCACCCCGACAGGCTCTGCAGCGCGCCTCGCTCTAGGGAAGAAACCCGGTGAACGCCCGCCGTACCGCCGCCAGCCTCCGAGCCAGCCCTCCGGCCCCTACCCACCTCGCTCCAGCAGGCCGCTGATGGAACAGGTGTGGGGAGACAGAAGCGCCGAGCGCGGCACTGCGAACAGCACCTCCCCCGGCTGCACGCTCTCCCGCGCCACCATGCCATAGCCGGCCACCGTGCCCTGCCGGCTCACCGCCACCTTGGGACTCAGCTCCAGCCCCACTCCCGCGCACCAGCACAGGAAGCCGGATACCGCGTCGCCGTCGGAATCACCACCACTGGGCCACGCCGCCAGCGGGGTGAAGCCGCACCCGGGACCCGGGGGCGACAGGGGTGCGCGGGCAAGTCTCAGGACGGAGCAGGGCGCGGGGAGGGGCAAGCCGCCACTCGTCCGCGCGCGCTTGGCCGGAGCCGCCATGCCGGGAGGCGCCGCGTCCTCCCTGCGCTTCCGGAGCCGATGGACGCGAGCGGACGGGGCGGAGCTCCGGTCCCGGCACCCACGCTGCCGCCTCGCTCCGCAAAGCCTCTCTGGCGTGACCTCCAGCGGGTTGAGACCTCCCTCGCGTGTCCGTGAGCACACAGGCGAGGTCTGTGCTGTCTCCGCCCTAGTTATGGGCGCGTCCCCGAAAGCAGAGTGCAGGAACAAAATCTGGTTTCTTCCTGGAGTCTTCTTGGCTGTTGTGCGGTAGTGAACGGCCACTTGTTAACGATAACCATTTATTTCACCGGCATTCGTTCTATTAGACAGTTTGCACGTAGGTTTGAAGTGGCCTGAAGGTTTTCTACATCTGATAGACACATACCCACCCTCAGTTGCTAATTTACTCGGTTTTCGTTTTCTGTGTAGATATGATTCATTTTACTTTTTTTTTTTTTTTTTCTCATACATTCGAAGGAGTCAATATCAGGTGAATGAATGATGGCACTAAATAATGAACGTGGAGAAGTCGGCAGTGTAATTCTAGTATTTGGGAGACTGCAACAGGAGTATTACTGGGAGTCCCTGTCCAAACTACGCTAGAGTGAAACTGTCTCAAAGCAACAAAAACCAAACAAAAAAGCAAGTGTGTCTGTCCTTGCTTTGAAGAGGTCGTACTGGCTAAGCTATTTCCTCATCTATGACACTGAGAACTAGCGTCAGGATTGGTAAATCATGTCTCAATCAGGATATATGGTAAACCTTGCCTATCATGTGTGACCACCCTGGTTCGATCCCCATCACCCTGAAAGGAAAAACAAAAGCTAGGCAAGGTGGCCTACATAATCCTAACACTCAGGAAGCTGAAGCAGGATTTCAATGAATGTTCTAGACCAGCCTGGGCTACAGTATGAAACTATGCAACCTCCACTCCCCGCAAAATGTGTGTAACAGGCACTGAAAGTATAAAGATATACAGAAACATTTGCTACCCTCCACATATCCGAGCCAGAGGCAGCTAGACTGACTAAACAATTTCAGCCTCCCATGTGACAGGAAACACTACATACTCATATTCTTCATTTCTTTATTAGTTTTTCTGCACAGTTAACTTTCTGTATCAACAAGGGCTTTTCTTTTGTTTTACATTTTGTCATCTCAAAATCTTTTATCAGCCACCAGAATACACAAAATTAGGCTCTTTGTACAGAAAGAAAAGTAATGAACTCCATTAAAAGTTCACCTTGACCAAAAAGGAAACAACCACCAATCAGGAAAACACACACAGGAGGACCTGATATACATACATACATACATATATATATATATAATGTATAGGTATTTATAGATATCTTAAGAACACAGCAAAAAGATGTCCAATACTGGAAGTGCTATCTACAGTAAGGATTAATTCTACCAGCTTTAAACAGTCACATTCAGTATTCACGGAAGCACGTGAGTGAACAGAACTGGGGATAGAATACACTCCACTGGACTTGAGAGCAGTCTAGAAATGGCTTACAGTTACAGAAGGGAGTGGCATGTGCCACAGAGACATCGATGTAGATGTTCTTAGTTCAGAACACCTATACAATACCTCCCCCATACACACACACAGCTCTTTTTTTCTTCTTTTGTTTTGGTGCTTTCTCTCCCCCATTTTGGTGACAGTGGATGAAACCAGTGACCAGGCTGAAACAACAGCTCTGGTTTCTGGGCTTCGAGTCTACTCGGTAAGATAATGAACAGGAAGACAGCATAGTTGGGGTCTCTAGGAGGCTAGGGTGCATCAAGAACCTTTGGCCTCTTTGCCTTTATTCACCTCAAGGACCCACCCATTTCCCACCCCGGGACCGAGCAAGCTCCAGCCCCTCCAGCAGGCAGAGGTCATGGTATCTTTCTGTCTTGGACCATCACTTTCCATCATTTCTCCAGTGATGTCTGTGACACACTGGCCCAAATTGACCAGGGCACTGCCACAAACACTCTTGGTGGAATCTTGGATAAGAGGGACTCTAGTACTTTCCAACTCCCAAAGGGATCACCGTGAAGTTTGCAGGGTTACAAACTACACAATGCAATCTTGACCTTTTCCCTCTGCCACAAGGGGCAGGAGACAAGGTGACCTTTGCCTCAGGGTGAGACCTGGCCCTGGGGTGGCAGAGTATGGGGGTTCTTTCTATTCTGTCTCCATAGTTTTGTCTGGCTAGCCTTACAGCACCTGACCTGCCCAGAGAGCACCAGGAGAGTAGTCGTCTGCTTAGAGTGCCCTCTTGCGGCTTCTAGCCTCAGGATTGTCACCTGTACTATCAGGATAGGTGTGTTTGGTGCAAGGGTTATAGGAAAGGGACTCTCGGAGGTTCAGGGCTCCCCATTGTCTGACTCCCACTCACACCAGAGCCTAGGCTCAGCACCCCCCATCTTCAGACACCACACCTACTGTATCCTATTTCCTGGCCCCACCCCAAGGCCATGTCGAGCTGATGACCATGTTGAATGAAATGGGAATAGATAAGGCGAGCCCCTCATTCCATCTAAGACTGTTCTGCTGTACTGTCTAAGGTGGATCCCCTTGTCCTTTAAATAAAAGAGAAGTAACCCATTTCCTCCCCTTCGCTCTCACAAAAATAAACTAAATGGAAGATGAGCCGGGGCAGAGATGGCAGTGGACCTGGGGGCAGGTAAGCAGGCGTCTTGGGCAGGACAAGGGCTTCAGCAGGATACCTCCATGGTATGGTTGACCTGGCCCATGCCCTCACTGCTCTCTGAGTGGGTGCAGGGCTGTGGGCGGCTGCCATCCACAGAACTGGCGCTGGTGAGGGATGCCGTGCGTGAGCGCGCAAGGCGAGTCATGCTGGCTGACGGCACTGTGAACAAAAACAAAGGGTCCTGAGGACAGGTAAGGTGGGTACCAGCAGGTAGGAAAAGGACAGTGTGAGCAAAGCGGCCAGTAAGCTCCAGTCTTGCCACAATGTGCACAGAGGCCCATCCCAAGCCAGGGTGCTGAAGCTGGCCCCATCAGGCCGAGGCATGCAGGGCCAGCGACAGTGAGCAGGCCAAATGGGCTGTGGCCAGCAGGGTCCTAGGTCCCAATAGCTACCAAGAGCTTTGGCCAGGGTAGGGTACTTGTTGATTAGAAACTCTTTGTGGCTAACTAGACCTTCATCCTGAGAGTGACAGGGTAGGAGGCATGATTGCTTCTTTGAAGGACACAAACAGCTACAAACTACCCTGAATCTTGCTTCCTACTGTTGTAGGTCCACCTAAAGGCTGGGCCAGGGACAGACACAATGCCTGCAAAGGTCAACCTAGCGCTGTGTCTGAGGCTCTGCTTCTAACTCCCAAAGCTTTGGAAGCCCCATAGCTCAGGGCAACCTAGAAACAAGACAACTGCTCTGAAATCAGCCGGCATCAGGTTCCCACATGGAACAGAGCCCTCAGCAGACCAGGGTCTGCAGAGGAGCAGGGGATCTGCTGAGGCTTTGAGCTGAGCAGGACACAAGAAGATTCCAAACCACAGCAAGACACGGTGTGGCTGCAGCACTTCAGTGGAGCGGGGATGGGGTGGGGGGCTATGCAGGGTGTCCATGCATCAGGAGAGGGGCCATGGGGCTACCTGCTCCTCCACTCAGCCTTCGGTCCTTCAAGTGTGCAACTAAGAGAAAAGACAGCCAGAGAGGGCAAGGGTAGGGGAGACACAGAACAAGGTGAAGATTGAGCCAGGCCAAGGGCATCGAGATGGCCGAGATGAGACAGACAAACAAGTGAGGGCCAGGGCTGAGCCTCGAAACGCCCACTGTTGCAACCTGTCCAAACAGCAGTTCATGGAAGCCATACCAGTCTCCGGATTCTTGCCTCTCCCTCTTCTCTAGCCCAGGCTGTGGTATAAGGCCCACGGAGGGAACATCCTAGACCCAGTGCCCTGACTGCTCTTCCAGACCCCAATCTTGCACACGAAGGGGAGGAAGCCTGTACAATCTCCTAAAGCCCCTCCAGCTCCTGGGATGCCTGGTAGATCCCTCATGAAGTCCAAGGACACACGCTACTGCCTACAAGTGTTGCTCCTTCTTGGCCTCATAGCTGTCTGCCAAGCTCCAAGAGTGCATGGGGCCCAGCTCGGAGGTCTGGCTGGTCCTCCCTGTCTGTCTGTACCTTTCTTTGTCATTTCCCCCATGAGGCTGGCAGGTGGAGGGCTATCCTATTTCTGTCCCAAGGAAGTACAAGCTCCAGAGCTGAAGTCTTTGGTGGAGGACACCAAATTGAGGGAGAGCAGTTCACCTCCTGGCAGTTGTGTGCTGTTAAGAGGGGACCAGAGGTCCAGGAGGTATACAGGAGCCGCCAGGATCACAAACTTGTGTGTATGTATATGTGTGCATGTGTGTGTACATGTTTGTGTGTATGTATATTTGTGTGTGTATTATGTGTATGTTTGTATATGTATGTGTCTGTATGTTTGTGTGTATGTGTGTGTGTGTCTGTGTTGTGTGCTCATGGGCATAGGCTGAGTCTCATCACTGTTACATGAAGGGATGTTTCAGGAAGGATAGAGAACAGAAAACTGCTTTAGAGCCCTCATTCCCAGCAGATCCTCAGGCTTATTTCCACAGGTTTGGACATGGTCTTAATTCCCTTTTCTGGTCCCAGACTCCATGGGCCTGGGCTCTAAGCCTCTACTGTGACAAAGAGCCTTTTGAGATGTCCTAATCCCAATAGGGTGTGGGTGACTCATCTGAAATAGGCATTCCTAACAGCACCAGGCCAAGCTCCTGGTCTTTCAAGGCTGGAAGAAGAGTCCTCTCCCAAACAGGCTCTGTCTGACATCAGGCTTAGAATAATGTCTAAAGGTCCACACAAGTACAGAGGCTGGTTGGGCCTGGGATACCCACCCTATAATGTATGCAGAGTATGGGAGAGTAGGCCAGCCTTCAGGGGTCCAAGTGACAGAGTACACTCACCCCAGCACATAGTCAATATGTCCCGGTCCCTTGCCCAGGATGGGTGGAGGTGTACTTACTGTAGCCCATGCCTTGCAGGAAGTATTTGAAGGCCTCCGTCAGCTTTCCTGGCTGCAATAAGATGGACAGGAACAAGCTCTGATTGGCTGCCTGGGTCTAGTGGGGAGATACCATCCCACTCCACCCATCCCCTAACAGGCTGGGTGAGACAAAGGCAGAAGGTCCAGGGTCTTACCTGTGTCACCTGAGGAAGGCCACCAGAATCTGCCATCTGAAAGGAAAAGTGCAGGGAGAACTGAGGAGTCCCTCCCAACACCTGGACAGATTGTGCTATTCAAGCATCATCCTGTTTCCATGCTGTCCACCCCTTCCTGCAGCTGAGCCACAGGGCTGATGGCGGGTGGGGTGGGGATCTCACCTTCAGGAAGGTTGTGGTGGTTGGGTCCAGTTTGGAGTTGCAATCAACCTGGGGACAAGGAGGCAGTTGTAGCAAGACCCCTGCTCCACTGCTTAGGGCAGGTTCTGTGCCCAGAGCAGGAAGGGGGGGAGCGCTTCCCTTCCCAGGCTTTCTCGCGCTAGGGCTTCCTAAGTCCCTGGAGGCCTGTTGGTCTGCTGGGCATGAAATTCCACTCATAACCACAAGTAGGGCAGGGATGGGACAAGGGTTTGATCCAGAAGGCCAGGGTCACTCTATCAGAATGGACCAGAGGATCTGGACACTGTGAGGGGACAGCAGGGGATACTGGGGCTCTGCCTGGGTCAAGATAGCTACTTCAGCCTACGCCCTGCCCTTGCAGCCTTCCTCATGAGCCCTTGAAAGTTTGGTGTTTTCTGAACACCCTGGGCCTGCAGGCACCTGCCCTGAGACTGCTACTGCCAGGGTGCCAACGGAAGCGCTTCATGCCCCGCCACACCCTGGGAGCCTGGGTTCTCCAGGGTGAGCATTAATGTTTATGAGCCACTCACGGGTCAGATTTTGGAAGAAGTGTGGGTTGGGCTCTAAAGTGAAAGTGTGTGGAGACTGAGGTTGGCTACACGGTGGAGAGAGGAGGGAACCAGGCAGCATGGCCCTAGTCCTAGCTCCATCCATGCACTGGCACTGGGCCCCTTCCCCTGCACGATGGGGGTGGCCAGGTGACCTGCCCCAGACTCTGACCTCCCACTCCACCCAGGAGAGCCACACTCACCACCCCATCCTCAGCAGGTGCGTTATCTCCGACTACCAGCATCACGGGGCAACTGAAACAGAGGTTAAGGGTTATCTGGCCTGGGTTTAGGGACAAAGGCAAGGGCAGGCTGGAGGGCAGGGGTCACTCACCGGAGAGTCTTGGCATTGGGCACAGTCCCAGGCCGGTTAATGTCAAGGTCTCTGCGGCTGTGGGGGGAGGGAGGGGCAAAAGTAAAGGGGGCTTCCCGGGATGGATCCCAACACTGCCAACTGGTAAACCTGGGAGTCATGAATTTGCTGTGTATACACAGGACCCTGTGGACTACCCTTATCACGACTCCTTTCCAGAGCCCCAAGCTGTGCCAGGCATGTGCTCCAGCGCCTGCCATGTCCATCTTCACACCCCTGCTCCAGGACCAAACATACAGCCCTTACTCAGTATTTGCATCCGGGTCTCTTCCTCACCGTAGTTTTCCCAGCAGGAGTTTCTTTGCGAACAGTTTACAAAAGCAAAGATACAGGGCTGAGCACCTACAGTGGGGACTGTGGGTGCTGATAGCACTCCCCAATCCCTCAGGTCCAAGGAGGCCACACCCTGGGCAAGAAGCTGACCTCTGGCAGACTTCAAAATCAGCTCCTCTGCCAGCAGGGATGTGGTGCTGCCTGCCCTGCCCCCTCCCATGGGGGGGTGGGGCCCCCCACACCTGTTGTACATGTTCCAGAAGAGCTGCAGGTTGGCCTGGTTCACCACGTTTGAGATCTGCTGCCGGTAGCTCTGCACCAGCTCTGTGTTGTTCACCAGCTCCTCCTGGGCATGGGAGGGAGGGTGGGGGGGTGCACACAGGAGGGAGGGCCTCAGGGCTCTGAGAGGGCACCGTGGGGGTCACCTACAGAATTCGCCAGCCCCACTCCCAGCAGGAGTGGTCTGGAAGGCAGAGGAGGGGCCTCAGGAGTGGACTGGCCACCTCAGACAGGGTACTATGACCCAGCCTAGCTCAGCCTGCAGCTGGCTGAGCCCCAGCCTGTAGCCCCTGCTGTTGAGGATGCCCGAAATGCAATCCCATCCATCCGCCCCTTACCTGGCTGAAGAGATGGGAGAGTACCGTATCTGGTAAAGTGCTGGTCAAGCCAGAGAGCTGCAGGAGGGAGGGAAAGCCACAGTGAGGCCATCTCAGGTCCCAGCTCCCACAGCCAGGCCTTGTGGGCTTGGTGCTCACCTTGGTGGCGGCCCAGTCAATCCAGCCTTTGCCGTTGGGGTCAATGTTCATCAACACCAGCCCCTCCACCAAGTCAGGGAAAATGAGCTGCAGGACAAGGGGTAAAGGAAAACAGGCCATAAAACTCTTGCTTGGTGAAGTCTTCAAGATACCACAAATGGGCCAACTGTGTACTTGGGTCTGTCTCTATAGGGCTCCCATGAGGGGGCCTCACTGCTCCTCTCTGCCCATGCCTAAAAATTATTGGATTTAGGTAGAATCCATTAAAGCAGCTTTTTACTCTTTTTTGTACATGTATATATACTTGTTGGTATAGTTCTGGGGATGGGACCCAGAGTTCTATCACGTGTGCCAGGCAAATGCTCTATCATGAAGCCATACTTTTAATATGTTTTTGAAGGTGTTACAAAACTGAATATTAGGTATCTTCAAATCTGGAATTTTTTTTATATTTCTTTGTGTGTGTGTGTGTGTGTGTATACATTCTCATATGAAGCAAGACCCTAGTGGGAACTGTTTATCTCTTCTACCATATAAGTCCAGGGGATCAAGTTCAGGTTGTCAGGCTTGGTGGCAAGCTCCTCTATTGGCTGAGTCAGCTTGCTGGCCCCATCTTCAAATTTTAAAACAGAGCAGGACAGTGGTGGCTCACACATTTGATCTCAGCAGTTGGGAAGCAGAGACAGGCATATCTCTACGAGTTTGAGGCCAGCCTGGTCGACAGAGCAAGTTCCAGGATAAACTCCAAAAGCTAGAGAGAAACTCTGTCTCAAAAAACCACAAATAAGTAAAAATAAAATCTTAAAACAGGCTGTTTCCTTTCTTGCTTTTTATGGCTGAAGATCCTATGGTAGAAGACAAGACACAGACCTTTTCAAAGCCAGCTTTGTGCTGACTGAGACAGGGGGGTCTTCTGTTCAATTGTTGGCCCGCACATAGGGAGAGCAGGTGACAGACACACACATAGAGAGCCCTGCAGTCTGTCTGCAGGGTCTGGGGTACAAAATGACTCAGTGTGGGAACAGAAACTGGAGGTAGAAAAAATTCTGTTTCTTTTTCAACAATAAATGTTTGAGTCCTAAGTAGTTCCTGGCTTTAGAGATAAAGGTTTTCCTGCCTAGCCCACTATTTCTGAAACGTGGTTCTCTTTAACCCTCAGAACCTGAAGGTAAGTGCAGTGTTGGGTTAAAGACCACTGTGTCCATATGGTACTTCATCTAATGGGGATAACCTGTGCTGGCTGGTGCGCAGAGTGATAAGAGAGTTTGTCACTAACAGGAATACAGCTTAGGAGAAAGGTTAAGCAAGCAGTAGCTAATAGTCCTCTGAAGCAATGCACAGGGGGAAGGAACTGCCTTTTCTGATTTATTCCAATTACTCATTTACATTTAGTGTGTGTGTGGCACGTTACAACTCTGTGGGTTCTCTTTTCTCCTTCCTTCTTTATGTGTGCTCCAGGGATCGAACTCAGGTCTCCAGGCTTGTGCAGCAGGTGCTTTACTTGCTAAACCACCTCCTCAGTCCATGTATTTTATTTTTGTGTGATGCTAGAGGAGGGACCAGAGTCCCACCCGTGCAGCATGCAAGGCAAACACTATCACAGAGCCACACCCCTAGCACATCTCTCTTCTCTCCTCCCTCCCTCCCTCCCTCCATCCTTTGTTCCCTCCATCCTTTCCTTCCTCCCTCTCCCTCTCTCTCTCCCCACTCCCTCCCTCCCTTCCATTAATTTCCTTGGAGGGAAAAAAGGAGGAAGGGCTTCTTTCTTAGCAAAAGGGAAGGAATAGGAAGAAGACCAGGGAACGCCCTTTGTGGCCCAAGGATCATGCTCTTGGCCTGGACAGGGATTGTCTGTGAGGGAGGGGGAACTCACCGCAAACTTGGCCAGAACATAGGCTCCGGCTCCCACGCCAATGCCAATCACATATTTGAACCTGTTGTAGAGCAGAGCTAGTTACTCCAGGGCTGGGATGTCATTTCTCATGAAACTCAGCTAGAGCAGATCTCACTCACCCCCCTCAGCCCTTAGCTGAAGCCAGGCTAACTGCAGTGGTATGGGCAACTCCTATCCCCCTGCCCGGAGTCGGGAGCCTATGAGGGACTCACCCAAAGTGCTGAACCACACTCGGGAGCATGGCAGCCAGCTGCTCCATGGAAGGGAACTGGTACCTGTGGGCAGAGTGGAAGTTCAGGACCTGGGTACAGTTGAGGCCACAGGGCTGGAGCGGGTGAAGAGACTCTGGGTGTACCTACCCCTGAGGGAACTGTGACGCCCCCACCTGCTGCCCGGGGGCATCCACATGGCACACCACAAAGTGTTTGGTGATCTCCTGCATGTCCTCAAAATTGAAGAAGGTGTTGAAGCACAGCTTGTCTGCAAAGACACACCTCTTAGTGGGCAAAAACAGAGGACAGACATCAAGGATGTCAGGGGCCAAAGGGCTTCAGAGTCCAGTGGGGAATCCCAGGCCAGAGGCTGAGCCACAGAGGGGATGGGAACTGAGACCTGCAGGACCACACAGGGAGGAGAGGAATCCTCCCTGGTTTGGGAGTTCAAGGTAGGGTCAGACAGAACGGACCAGGGCATAGCTGCACTTACGATTGAGGCCCACGTCATGGTAGGTGAGGATGGCTGGGCGGTTCCCTTTCGGAGAGCCCCGGATCACCACATGCAGAAGGCCATAAGGCGTCTCAATGTCATGTTCCTGGTGGGGAGGAGCAGATGGCATTGGAAACTCTGCTTCTTGGGGAATAAGGTGGTAGAGCCCCTGGTCAAGGTGTGTATCCCCTCGAGTCATCCCACAGAGGACTCCTCAGAGGTGTTCAGCCTAGAACATTCCCGATTCCCTCTACAAACCAATCTGCCACTGCCCTGCCCCTTGCTCTACGTCCAGCCTGCCACAGGGGCCTGGGAGGCCAGCTATCTCCATTTCACACAGCCCTCCCAAGAGGGCTCTGGCACCCCAGTCCAAGTTCCTTACCCCATTATCAACCAAGGTGTGACCCCTTTCTTGCAGAATGGCCTCTGCCACCCCACCTAGAAGCCACAGCAAACATTTCCCTGTCAGCCACATCCTGCTCCCATTCCATACACCTGTCCTCATTCCTGTTCCCTCAGATTCCATGACCTGTGGTATGCACACATGTCCATGACCTTCCTCAGGCAGGACCGGGCTAGCCATGCCCGCCCACAATATCTTTTGCAGCCCTTACTCCCTGTTCCCAAGCCCTTCACTTTGTTGCTCAGGTCTAGTCCTTCAGGGGGACCTTATTATGTGTGACTCTGAGCAGGGCAAGCAGCTTCTCAAATCATCTCACAGAGACTTTGTGGGAGTCACGCACATCATGTAGACATGGCCCAGACAGAGGGGGGGGGCTGTTGCAGCTGGCAGCCCTGAACCTTGAGGGGCAAGCCTGCTGACTGACCTCTTTGCAAACAGGTCATTCCTGGGATGCCTGGATCAGGAAATCTAACACATTGGTCAGAGATTAATATACCCTGGCCTCCACCACAGGGGTCCTGATACCACTGCCAGTAGCCCAGAGCTGGAGCTGGTGCTACTGTCCCCATCAGGAGAGACACCGCAAATGACCAAGCACCAACTGTGTTCCAAACTTCCTACCTGCCACTCAAGATGGAGGGGACCTACACTCTATTGTGCTGACATGGACACTGGTTTCAGATAAGGGAGATGTGTGTGACAAAGCCAGCTTCCCACAGACTGGCTTTTTTTGGGTGCAGTATAAGAGGTTCACTGTTCAGACTGGGCCTCCAGAAGGAAATGTGGTGATAACCCCATGACCACAGGCCATACTCTGGGACCCACACTCTGCTGGGAGGCCCGAGTATCGATCACCCTGTGGTCATCACTTAAGCCCAGGCCCAACACAGCCTCCTGGTCTGTCCCTCCCACAGGACCCATTTGACCAAGAAAAGCTTTCTGCTTGCTGGTGCTTGCTATGTGACACCTCACATATCCTCATGGACCCCGGCCCTCTACAGCATGCTCTACAGGAAGACATAATCGACTCGCCCAAGGTCGAGCCCAGGGTTGACAAGATGTCAGCTTAGGGCTCTGCACCAAGGGAAGCATCTTTCTGAGGGGGAGGCTGAGGTCCATCCAAGGGCCCTGCCTCGCAAGCAGGCTGCCACCGCCCCAGCCAGCTGCTTTTCTCTGGGGTCCCTGCTATGGTCACTCCACTGTTCTCTCAGCTCCAGAGAAAGGGATGGGGTCTGGGGTGCACAGTGTAAAAGGGGCAGCCCTCCATTGTGATGGGTCTGATCTTCCTCTGCAAGGACACAGGGACCGCTACCCTCTGGGTATGTGAGGGGTGCCTGCCCTCTGCTACCAAGGTGTTCTACATTCCCTTTCCTTCCCTGATATGGCCACCCAAGTCTAGGCAGATACCATCACAGCACTAGCCTTGCTAAGGAAGGTTCACTTCCCAGGTGGAGAAGTACTGGCTTTGACCATGAGGACCTACTGGAGTGACACTAACTGCCTTTCTTGTCCTGAGACACAGTGACCTTGACTGAATGATCCCAACAACTTCTTTTCCACGTCATCCTCCTCAGCCCTTGGCTGAGGACTCAGATCCAGGTTGTCTGACAGAAGCTGAGCATCCCCACCCCTCAGGATGCTGACTAGAGTGGGAAGCTTGCCTCAAGGACCACAGCCCAGCAGGCAGTCAGCCCCTCATCCCAGGGTAGAGTGCTCCCATTGGCTCTCAGTGACGTCAGAGCCCAGCCCCCCACCTCCAGGTGGGCGCTAGAGAGATGCATTGCGGCAGGCAGCAAGGGAGGGGGCTTTGGCATGCCCTCCCAGGCTGCCTCTCCTCACCAGTGACCTTGAGGGCTGGGGAGAAGGTAGGATCTGTTTTCAGCAGCTTCCTGGGTAATTCAGGAGACAGGGTCTGCTCAGGAGGGTAGAGGCTCATCAGGACCAGTAAGGAGAATGAGTGACAGGGGCACGGGATGCCTGCAGGGCAAATCTGCCCTTGCATCTCCCTCCCTGAAGAAGAGCAAAAGGCCTGGGTAGGTGTTGCTCCTCCCCCACGGCAAGAGGAGGTGTCCTGGGACCCCACGCCCTGCCAGCTCAGTACTCTAGTCTTGTCTTCCCCACCTTGTAAGATAAAGCAGGGCAGCCTCTCCTTGACTCTCCTCCTGCAATACTCCTACCTGAAGACCCAAACCCCCACCCTTCAGCCTGGCTCTGCAGTGCACCGGGGACACACAAACAACTCCTCATGGGGTCATGACGTTCTGCTGCATCTATTCAGCATCAGACAATCCCTCACAGGCCAGACCCTGCAGGCACAACCCTGACAGATGCTAGGAACATGCCCTGGGCTCACAGAGGTCTCACCAAGCTGAAGTGACCCCAGGAGTTCATATATGAGGCAGAGAACAGAAGCCAGCAAGCAGAGGGCGATGCACCCACCACATTTCCCAGACACCATCCTTCATACCCCACCCTCCACACCCAGAGCCTGAACAGATCAGGAAGACAGGCATCTGGGCAGAACTGTCACCAGACAGGGCAGGAGGACACCTTGTCCTCTATAGGTCACAAGGATGTCCCATCCTCCCTGCCCATCCCGCAGCACCCCCTGGTCCCCACTCACCCCATCCCAGCACTCCGGCATCTTGCCGAGGAAGGGAATTTGCTGAACCAGAAAGGGCAAACAAAAGCCTGAGTCACTCGATCTGGAGGGAGGGGGCAGCCTGGGTGGGAAGACTTCAGCTCTGGGATGATGGGGGCACAGCTCCGGGTGATTTTATACACAGATCCTGGCCCTGCCCAGACTGGCCCCTCCTCCCTGAAGGGTTTCTAAGCAGCTACTTGCTCATTCCGTGTCCTCGCTCCCACATTGGCTGCTAGGAGACAAACCAGTCTCCAATTGGCTTCTGAGATCCTCTCTCACTCGGCCTTGTTTCGGGGCCCCTCCCGCCCTAATGACACAACAACCTGATGGTCCCCAGCCTCTGCAGCTCAAGGGTACTTAGTGCCCAGGCACCTCCCATCAGGTATGGCTGTGTGTGGCTCCCGGGGAGCAGTAGCCAGGGTCTCATAGGCGCCCTGCATCAGGCACACAGAGACCCATCACAGATACGCAGGGCAATGCAGGGCCGCTTGAGAAGCTGGGCTTGCAGGCCTGTCTCAGCACTTGTCTCCATTTTCCGGGAGCACAAAGATCCTTAAAACCCAGTATCTGGAGGATCTGACTCCCAGGCCCAGTCACCCCAGCAAGATGACAGCCTGTGTCACTTGACCTTGAGGACAGCTACTGGCTGGGGAGGCCATCACTGGTTTGGGGAATACCTAGGTTTATCAATTGCTTCAGGGTTTGCCACTCCTCTACCCACTGGGGTGTATCTCCCCTTAGGTATCTCCCACCTTGCCTACACCGAAGCCCAGGGCTGACCCACAGCCCCGAAAGTGTGGAGTTGAGGGGTCTGAGGGTGCTGGGCGGGAGCGGAGGAGCAGTAGCATGGCTCTCCCTGACCTCACATTCCTGGAAGAGGACAAGGTGCCCGGAAGAGGAGGAGGGAGGTGGACATGTTTCCACCCCACACACTCATCCCAAGCCCTGTCTTCTGAAGCTAGTCAGTATGAAGTCCAGCTCCTGTCTCTGGAGAGGACATACAAGCTGTGCCTAACCTATCAGGGCAATGAGGTTCCGAGGCACACAAATGGGGCACACGGAGCAGAGGAGCGGAAGTAGGCCAGGGAGCTGACAAAGGAGGGAGCCCCAGGGCTGAGAGGACAAAGGAACAGGGAACATGGTGGGGGCTGGGGGCCTGTGCCCCCATTCCGACTCCTTGGTAGAGGAACAACTGCTGGTCCCTATCTGTGCTGATAGCCCTGCACCCTGGTGAGTCCCAGAGGAAGGTGGCCAGCTCCTGGCCCAGTTGCCTGGTGACCTGCTTTACAACAGTTAAGTGTGCACGATTCCTAGCAACAGCTGCCCAGGTGCCAACAGCTTTCCCTGTGCCACTTCTGACCAGGCCACCCCCAAACAGAGACATGGAAGAGTGCCTCAGGCTTAAGTCCTCCCATGGGCCTCTCAAGGGAGCAGAAAGTCCTGCTGCTGATTCCCACTCCCTGTGTTCCCTAACCAATCCATGCCTGCTCCCTGACTCCCTCCAGAGAGGTTTCCGTCTCTCTGGCTCCCAAGGGAGATGCTGACCCAACACTGGCCTCTTTCAAGCTACCTGACTACAAACCCACAGACCTGAGGCCGGGTTCTGCTCAACCAACTCTCTGAGGAGTCCTGGGGCAAGGTTTTTAATTCTCTGCCTCTGAGGAGACACAGAAGTCTGAGAGAAAGTCGAGGAGCCTGAGGCCCAGAAGCCTGTTTTCTCATTCAGGTAAAGGGCATCATGGTTCGCTAGGCCCAAGTATAACCATCAAGGGGAGCAGACACATTAGGGTGTCCCCACATGCGGGACCCTGGATAAGTGCTTTACATGTTTCCTCACTTAGTGCCCACTTTTCAGACATGTGGTAAGCGGCCCCACCTCACACAGCCACAAGCCACAGCATCAGCAGCCATACCAGGTTGTCTACTGTGACTGTGTGATACGGTTGTTGGCTATGCCTTGTCATGGGGAGAGGGGGTGTGGCGGAAGATGTCTGAACACTAGGCCCTGGACACCATCCTGTCACAGCACTGAGCCACTGACTTTACTGTATGGAACGAACGGGCAGAGAGGAGCATGTGGGGGTGGGGGGACCTAGACTAGGGCAGGCTGAGAGGAGCATGGTGGGGGAGTGGACACAGACGGATCTCGACTGTGATCTCTTGTACTTTCTGGTTTCTCTGTCTTCTTTCTTCTGCAGCTGACCCTGCAAAGCCAGAGACAGTGATGCCGCCTGCCACTGTGGAGCAGGGGATGAAGGTGGTTCCCCAGCTGTGGCCCAGATAGCAGCCATCTTTGTGTTATTCTTTAAAAAAGAAAAAAGAAAAGCAAACAAAAAGCCTGCCTTCATGAAGTGTTCCCAGGGTGGCATGAGGATCCTGGAGTTTACCTGATCCCACCATGCATAGCTGCTCTAGGCTTGTGGGCCCACATAGCCCCATGGTCTGATTTCTGGCTATCCCTTCTGCACAGGCTGGTCCACCGGCAGCCACATCCCTCCCATTCCTTCTCAGGGGCTCCGATTAGCTTCAGCTGCCTTTCAGCCGATGCCTGTGACCTCAGGGGATATGGGCATGGGCACATGGTCTGCCTATAGTCTTCCCTCATGTCCTTGAAGAGGCACATGACCAAGGGACCAACACAGGCCCAGATCCTCATTCTTGCTGGCTAGCTGCTTCAGGGGGAGGAGCCATCGGGGAGTCCCACCTCCTGCATCCAGACTATAAGACTGTTCTGAGAAGACTGATCCAGATAGAGGTCAGGTGGAGAAAAGCGGTGGTTTGGGGGTGACTTCCATGCAGCAGGGAGGAGGGCGGTCTGAACTGGTCTGTCATATTTGGATGGCTGGTACAGTCTGAGAACCCTGTAGGCCTATCTCCCTCTCCAACCTATGCTGGCTGTTAGATACGTTCTGGTGCCTGGAAGCAAACTGTTATTAGGGAACTCTTGAGGGGAAAAACAGCTGGACACGTGAGCAAAAATCATCACGTGGAGGAATAAAACAAAGAGCAAGCTCCGTTTTCATGGTACCTTTGGCATCAAACTAAAGAGGACATGGTTGTCCTGGCAACGGCTGCTATGGAAACAAGAGTTATTTCATAGTCAACCTAGCTTTCACTGGAGTAAAATGCTGATTCAGGTGACAGCATCTCTCACTTCCTTCTGCACACTCACTGCCTGAGGCCTCTGCTTCCTCCCCACACATCTTGTTCACAGAGGGTCTGCCCCTCCCCCACATACACTGGGCGGGGGGGGGGGCAGCTACAGCAGGAAGCAGGTAGAGGGACACTGTGAGCAGTAGGAGCGGTCATCAGACCATGAGGTGGTCTGTCCTCACCACCAGAGACAGGGACACACAGACCAGCTCTGTCTTTCCTCTAGGACCCAGCCCAATGGGAATGGGATCCAGACAGATACGACGGGTCCCACATTTGAAAGGCTGAGCCTTAACCTACCTTCCAGTCTGTGTCCACAATTGAGAGGAAGGTGTCAGGGTTATCCTAAGGAAGGCAAACAAAGGAGGACAAGTTAGCCCAGCTCCCAGGGCTCTGCCAGAGCAGACTGGTCTTCTGACCCCCAATCATGTTCATGCTAACAGAAGCGGCTCGTGGGCCTACCCAGGGTTTCAGGGTATGAACAGCACGAGGGTTTCTATCTTACAGGGTACCAGGGAGACTGAGGGCTGCTCCACAGGCAGAACGTACTTGGATCTCTGCTTTAGTGCTGCTTTGGATCGCTGCACACAAGGGCAGAGGATCATGGAGGAGCAAAAAGACACCATGGTTGTCACCCCCAGGGCAGAGAAGGTAGCTGAGGCCTGTTCGGTGCCCTGACCTATGCACACTGGGTGTTGTCAAGGCCAGTAGCACTGTCCACTCTACTCTCTCAGACTTCTTGGGTCTATGTGAAAGTGGCAGTGGCATCTTCCAATAGTGCCTGTCTTGTCTCTGGACTCCAGGTGCCATGATGGAGGGACTCTATCTGGCCATGTAAAGCCTGGACTAGAGTGGGATCCCAAACACAGGCTAATCTGGACAAACAATCTGCCTTCATAAATGAGGGGCATGTGGGTCAGAAGACACCCAAATCTGGGCATAGCAGCACATGCCAGTAGTTCAGTATTCAGGAGGTCGGGAGTCCAAGGCCAGCCTCAGCTATGCAGTGGGACTTACGGATTCTTCCATGGCCTAGGGGAACTACAGGGATCAAGGGAGGGAGGGCGGCCACTTCTGGGATCCCTGGGGGGGGGCCTTCTGGCAGAAGGGGGTAAGGCTAGTCATTGAAGGAGCCTTTCAGGGAGAGGGCTGAAAAGCAAGTGTGGGAAGGCAATTACCTCAGGGAAGGAGGGAGGAGAAAGTTCTGTTAAAAAAACAAAATCTGATGGGATGATGCAGATAATGGTAGGGTGTGCTAAATGCTCGGGAGGTAGGACTGTGGGAGGGATGGGGCCCACAAGCCAAGACAGAGTAGAAGAATGAGCCCGGGAACGTCAGGAGGTGGCCCAGGGAGGTCACAGCAAAGGGCAGAAGAGGGTCTGGATGAATGGAAGCCTAAGAGGGGTATAGAGAGAGGCAGTAGTGTCCCATAGAACCCGGGACTCCCCAGACCCTGCAGTCTTCAGGGAAAGCAAGTCTAAAGTGGCTTATAGAGGTGGAAAGGCACATAGAATATAGTCGTCTGCTTCTCCGTGATGGAATTTTATCTCCCCAGAACCCATGGTTTTCTGCTCTCACACAATTCAAATCAATTCTAGACTGCCTATAACACATTTTCTAGAAGACATGCATGTGTCATGGAAATAGTTTAAGGACAAGAAAAAAGTGTTTACTCTGGCTACTTCTACCTGGCTAACTGAGGCCCTGGGTGTGGACACCGTGGATAGGGAGGGCCTGCTGTATTCACTCCTCTCTGGATACAACAGTGTCTACCTGGCAAACTACAGCCATTCAGACAGTCAAGAGGTCAGGCAGGCACTGCGCTCAGAATGCTGAGAGAACCTGCCAGCATCACAGCCTGCGAAAGGGCAGCTCTTGAGGACAAAGGCACAGCTAGCTGACACCTCAAGAACTTTGTGGGAGTCACGAGGAGGCTACAGTGGGCATTTTTCCTAATGCCCCTTTGGAAAAAGCAGAGCTGACAGGGTACCCAGCAAGAGCCTCTTGCTGACTCAAGGAGTGGCAAACTACAGCCCTGGTGGCCGCTGCTGTGAAATGAGAGACTGGGTACAGCAGCAGGAGGAGGTAGGCTGCCAGGAGCAGGAAGGAAAGGACCATGAGTCATGAGAAAGGGACAGTAAGATGCTGCAGGAGGCTGGAGAGGCCTGGGCATAGGACAGACCTGTGCTGCAGGTTAGGGTCTGACGACAGCTCGTGCTGGGAGCGACAACAGAGTGTGGACGGGTGCCAGTAACAACCTAGTGGTCAACAAAGGCTTCCTGGGAACACTTGAGAAGAGGCCTGAATAAAATAGGGAGGTTGCCCTGTGAGTGCCTGGAATAATGTCTTCTTCCAGCAGAGGAAGCAGCTGGAAATATGGCAGAAACACTCAAGGTTCAAGGAGCTTGGGAAAGGGGGGGGGCGCACAGGGAAAAGAGGATACAGTGCCCCTGGTCTCAGGCATGACCACTGCAGTCTCTGGGTGAGATGGCAGCCACTGGAAAGTTTAAGTAAAGGACTATCGTGTGCATTTTTTAAAGGGTTGTATTGCACAAGGACGGAAATGGGGACAAGGGGAGGAGGCTCCTGTAGGTTACTTAGCAGGAGGATCTGCTGTGGTCCAGGAGCAATGGAACCTGGGATGAAGAGCTTGCCAAACATGCAGTTCAGTGCCGGCCCCACAGGCTATCCTTAAATAACCCAGGAGTGGGCGCTTTGCTTGGGATTATTTGTTCAATGACCAACCACACCCCGTTCAGGGGCAGGGCTGTGGCTTCATGCGGTTGGATTCCCGGGCGCCCTGGCTAAGCCGCATGATCCCAGTCCTTGCCGATTCAGGGGGCTGAAGGTGGGCGTGGCGCATACCCAGCCACGCTGGATGGCCACTCAGGCTGACTCTGCATCTTTCTCAAGAAATGAACTGGTCAGTTCTGGGTGGCTCTGAGCTTACAGGAAGGTTCTCCCCACCACCACAGCTAAGATTGCCAGAAAACACGCAATTTCATTTCTCACCACAAGGTGGCACACGGCCCCAGGAGCTGGAAGGGGCGACTCACCAGCTCTGTCACATCCTGGCCGCGGAGCAGAGGCTTCTCCTCAGGGAATCGCAGCTCCTGCAGCCCGGCCATGGTCACGTCGTGGAGCAGGAGCCCTAGGAGGAAGGGGGCATGAGGTTGGGCCTTGTTCTGAAGCTTCCCAGTGAGTCTATCAGGCCAGGGATACTGCCCCAGGCAACCACAACTGATCTCTCTCCAAGACCTGCTTTTGCCAAGGAATATTATATTGTAATTGCTCTTTTCAAATAAAATCATGTTTAGCATAATTAGTCAATAAAAGGACCCTTGTAGGTTTCAAACAAAACTCTGCCTTTACTGTGAGGCAGAAGGGTTCAGTGGGGAGGTACGAAAGAGGTGGGCTCAAAGTGGCCAGAAGTGTCCTGCAGAGGTTTTGGAAGACTGAAGCTGGAGAGGGTGGGAGGTGAGAGCTCTCTTTCCTGGGACTTGAACAGGGTCAGGACAGAACATACATGTGATGTCAGCCTATGGCCACCAGAAGGTCCCATGCCCTGATTTCTGTAACTCAGGCAGAGGCAGAACTTTTTGTTTATTTGGTGCACGCCTTTAATCCCAGTACTTGGGAGGCAGAGGCAGGCAGATCTCTGTGAGTTTGAGACCAGCCTGGTCTACAAGAGCTAGTTCCAGGACAGGCTCAAAAGCCACAGAGAGACCCTGTCTAGGGGGGAAAAATATATATATGTATATATGTATGTATGTGTATATATATATATTTGTTCTGCCTGCATGTACACCTGCACACCAGAACAGTGCACTAGATCTCAATATAGATGGTTGTGAGCCACCATGTGGTTGCTGGGAATTGAACTCTGGAAGAGCAGCCTCTTAACCTCTGAACCATCTCTTCAGCCCCAATGCAGAAACGTTTGACCCTTGGAGGAAGAAAGGGTTACACTTATACAGTGTGTACACATTTCCCTTGTGTTTGTGTAGGGGTGCAGTAACAAACATCAGACAGACAGACAACCCAGGATGAGGTGCTTGCAGGAGAGGCAGTACCATCTTTCACTTGGGTATAATGGCAGAGGCCAGAATATATTAGGAGGGAAATGAGGCAAGGCTTTGCACTAAACATTCATTAAGACACAGAAAGATATTCAAAGAAACTCAGATTAAAATAACATACTCAGCCAGCATGGTGGTGCACGCATTTGATCCCAGTACTTGGGAGGCAGAGGCAGATGGATTTCTGTGAGTTTGAGGCCACCCTGGTTTGCACAGCAAGTAGCAGGCCAGCCAGGACTTTATACTACAACCCTGTCTCAAACAAATAACCAATAAGATTCTCATTTTTTTTCCCATTGTGACCATGAAACAGGCAAAGCTTGCGGTGCCAGCTAAGAAGCACAGAAAGCAGCACTTTGTAGATTTTGGTGGCACTGGGGATGGAACCCAGGGCCTTGCACATTACAGGGGCATGCTACCACTGAGCTACCTGCCCAGCCCCAGACTCCCAGACTAGCACTTTCTTAATTTGCATGGCACAAAAACATGGTCAACCCCCATCCCCAGATCAGTTTGTACAAGTGAATGAAAATTCCTCAAAAGGCTCAAACAATGGGCTGGGTATAGCCAATATGGATTACCAAAAAAAGAAACAATGTAACCTAAAGAGTCACATTGTCAGACTTCCTAAGGAAGCCAGGGAGGTGACTGATGACTTAGCCCCATCAACAGAAAAGCTGGAAGAAGCTAAAAGCCGATCAGTGGGCCACTAGAGCCACATATGGCTTTGGTAATTTGACAAAGATTACTTTAACTCATGGGGAAATGCTGTGTAACAATTAATAAAATGTAGCTAGCAGGGTGTGAGATGTCTCAGCAGGCAAAGTCATTTGCCACTAGAGCTGATAATTGAGTTCCATTTCCAGAACCCAAATAGTCCCACAGTGTCCTCTGACCTCTGCATGCATGTCACCACACATGTACAACAGAGATAATGATTTTTTTTTTTAAAGCAACTACAAAAGCATTCAGTATCCGCATTATGTATGAGAGATTCTAACAGTACCACAAGAGCCTGGACAGCTATGTGTGACATCACATGGTTCCCAGGAGGAAGCTTGGTGGAGGGTAAGCCGGGGCATGTGGGGGAGGGGGGTGTCTGAGATAAAAGTGAAACGCTGACAAAATATTCATAATAAACAATTAGTTTCAGGCATTGCCCCTGCAGAGGTGGAGGAGGATTGAAAATAGGGTGTCCACTACGAGAACACAGCCCACAGAATCAACCGACTAGGACTTATGGAGGCTGGCAGAGATCAGGGGCCTGTCTGACCTGGGTCCTCTGCATGTACGTTAAGGTAGCTCCTAACAATGGGAGCGGGGGGGGGGGAGGGGGCTGTCTCTGATTCTTTTGCCTACTTGGGGGACCCTTTTTCTCCTACTCATTGGGTTGCCTTTATGTGTCTGGTCTGGTATGTGTCTGGTTGATATCTCTGGGAGGCCTGCTCTCTTCTGAGGGGAGGCAGGGAGTGAATTTGGGGGTGAGGGAAGGTAGGAGAGGAAAATAGGATGCCCACTTCCAGGTGCGTGGGGGGGGTAGACATTTAAAAACAAAATCATTTTTGGGACAAGAGTCTCATTATGTAGCCTTGGCTGACCTGAACAGTAGTTGTAGACCAGGCTGGCTTAAAATTTTGTTGTTGTTGTTGTTGTTTTTCTTTTCTGAGACAGAGTTTCTCTGTGTAACAGTCCTTGCTGTCCTGAAACTAACTCTGTAGATCAGGCTGGCCTCGAACTCAGAGATCCATCTGCCTCTGCCTCCCGAGTGCTGGGATTAAAGGTGTGTGTGGCCACCGCCCAGCCCAATTCCTCCTCCTCACATGGCACCCGCAGCTTGTAAAGTGTTTACTTGGGCTATTTCACTATACCCTGACCTGAAGTAGCCTAGACAGTGCCTTAGCCTTCCTGCTCCCCTGCAGTGGGTCCCCAGCAGCAGGCTGCTCAGAGCTGCCCTTCCCTAATCCTGTCCTGTTTGCTCCCCCTACAGAAGGCCAGTGACTGAATGATGTCTGGCCAGGTGGCAGCCCTGAGCCTTCATCCTAACCCTCAGGACAGGAGGCAGGAGGAGGCTCTGCCACCCTAAGCGCCCTGGGTCCCCACCCAATCACACCCTGCCACCCTGCTGAGCTTTTTGTTCCCAGAGGTTTCCCAGGAAACTAGCTAATGCGACACAGATGGGCTGTATTTTTAGAATGGCGTCCTCTCTCCTCCCTCTGCCCTTTCTTCCCTTCCTTTCTGCTGTGTGCACATCTCATCCATCCATCGGAGTGGGAGTTCTGCGAGGCCCCCACCTTGAGAAACCTCCTTCATTAGGACTTTCCTAGCCACCTGCCTCCCTGCCTCCCTGCCTCCCACCTCAATTCAAGGCTTTGGGATGTCCCGCCCTCCCCCACCTGCTGTGAAGCCACCTGGAGGCCGGTCTCTCTAGGGACAATGCTATTAAAAGGGTTGGGGGTGGGCAGTGCTAGGACAGATGGTCTGTGATGAGGGAGTTGCAGGGAAGGGGTAGGGAGAGACAATGAGAGAACCCAGCCTGCCTCTGCCCTAGGGAAATGGGCATCCCAGCCTGCTCTGGGGCTTCCGGGCAGAGGCGAGTGACATTTCCCTGAAGACAGCAAAGTACATTCTCCTCAAAGAGTTACATTTTTCCCCCCTCACAGCAGCGGGGTGGTGGAGGAGATACATCTTCCTGGATGAGCCTGGTTGAGAGCTGAGTGAAGCAGGTGGATGACTGGGATCCTCGGGGTCTGAAAATGCCACCATATTCTTTCCCCTTTGCTCTCTTCCCTCTAGACCACTCATTACCTACAGGCTTGTGGAGCGAGCCTCAAATCCAAACAGGACTGGGGCGACTCCAACCCTCCCTCTTACAGTGGTTAGGCCAGCTAACCAGTGGTCCCTTCAGTGCTGGGCAATGTCCACCATCAGTCACTGCCCAGCTTGTGTGGGCAGGTCACAAGGAGACTGCTGACATGCAGAGAGGAGCTGTGGCCTCCTGTGCCCACCTTGGAAAACTTAGGGGGTTGGGTGGGGCTGCAGAGACAACAGCTGTTTTAGGCCATGCTGGCCAGGGCTCCCTGGTCCAGTGATCTCTACTTTGTGTCTCAAGCACCACACAGAAGAAAGGAAAACTGTAATGGAAGACTTTTGTCTCCCACCCAAGTACTAACCAGACCCCACTCTGCTTAGCCCCCGAAATCTGATAAGATTAGGTGTGTTAAAGTTCTGTACCTAAAAATGAGCAAACAAACTAAACAAAGCAAGCTTACTCAGAGCTGAGCATGTGCATCCTCCCTGCCCATTCAGACTCCTGTTTCCCTGATGACTGTTTCAGGGAAAAGTCGAGGAGGACTGGGTTCCCTTTGTGAACATCTTTACACATGGCCCCATGATGATGGGACTGGGCCAACAGAACCTCAGATTAGGGAGGGTTAAAAACACAGCAGTTAGGGCCAGCAAGATGGCTCAGCAGGCACCAAGCCTGATGATCTGAGTTCAATCCCCAGAGCCCAAGTGGTAGAAGGAATGAATTACTCTTAAGTTGTCCTCTGACCTCCACATATACACCATGGCAAAGAGTATGTGTGTGTGCACATGCATGTGCGCTCAAGCACATATATGCACCCCCCACACAAAATGTAATCAAACTTTTAAAAAATATATGTATTACCTCAGACTCATAGGAAAACCAGAGCCCATGGAGGGTGGTAAGGTTCAGAGGGATAGCAAAGCCACCTTTTGGTCCATGTGTGGATTTTGACAGTGTGTGCAAATACATGTACCTCAATGGCTTTCCTCTCCCCAGGATGTTTACAGCCCGAAGGTTGCTCCCCTGCAGAAAGTGCTCCTACACAGAGATCAGCTAATCAGCCCCCCTGTCCAGCTGTACACCATACACCCTGCCTCCTTGTCCAGCTGTATGCAGTAACTCTGCCTCCTTGTCCAGCTGTATGCTGTAACTCTGCCTCCCGCTTCAACTGTATAACAAACGTGCTGAGGTTTCTTCATCAGGGAGCCCAGGCCACTGATCCCAGCTTTTCTGCATGTGTCTTTTCCTCGTTTTCTCACTGAA